TGTGGTATCAGTTGTGAATTTTTCAATAAATGAATTGCTATTTTATAATTGTTATCTTTGAAAACCATAACCCAGGTGTACATTAGCATGTTATATTACAGGTCCCGCTAGAAAAAAATAATAAAAGAACGAAATAGTATTTAAAGAAAGAAATAAAAGAACTAATAACTTATAAGACATTTTTACTGTCAGGGCGCCTTCAAATTAGACGCTTGTAGAAGGGCGCGACGCGTCAGATGCGTGTCTGTAGCGCTTCAGTAATTTTTGTTCACTAATTGTGACTGCAAAAGTAGCGCGCTTATCACGACAGTGGCGTTGCGCTTATAAATATTGTATGTAAATTAGTAGTGGTGTGGTTCCAACGCTACAGTGGCGCCACTGTGGCGCTTCTATAAGCATCTAATTTGAAGGCGCTTTTATTCTAATTAACACCTCTTACGACAAAATAATATAAAAAACAAAGGTTTTTTTTAAAGGGGTTTGAAATTAGACAAGTCAAAAATGCGTTTCATTGTCAAATTGATTGAAACACACTCGAATGGAATTTTTTTATGGTTTTCAATTATTGTTTCTAAACTAAAATTTCAAACATTTCCCGATTTGGCTTGAATCGCGGTAGGAACACTTTTGAAAGCAAATAATGGAATACCTACGTACTTTTCTTTTTTTTTCAAATCGAAATTGAAAGTTTAGGGAGAAAGCCCTATTTCTAAACCTTATCTACATTGACTTACAAATAAATGGACGACGGGTCTAATACAAAAACCACGAAAAAAATGTCCCAAGTCAACCTATTCGACATTTAAATTGTTATGTCATCGCAGTATCGCGCTGTCCGTAGAACAAATGAAGACTAAAGCGGAGTGTCGCGCTCTGTATACGATTTTAGCGCCTTACAAGTGCGGACACTTTTTAGCGCGGACCCGACGTCCATATAATTGTAAGTCAATGCTTATCTATCATATAAATGATATGAATACTTTTTTAATAAAAAAATACAATGCAACAAAGTCGTACTTGTTTTTCGAAATGATAATATCTGTGTATAGGTAGTGCAGTCTGGAAAAGAGGATGAAACGGTCTTGTCTATAGTTTTAATAACAAAAGTCGGATTGTATAGAGAAGTATTTTTTGATTTTTCAAAACCACCTTACAAAGGGTAGAAATGATGAACGTTGTGGATACTGTATTTTCAGGGACTATTGAGTGATATGAACGCGGCTTCCCACGACCCGTGGCGCGATTCGCGTCTCGCGCCGTGGGAAGAGGACCGCCCCGAGACGGCTCGTGGCGGCCTGTTCGGATCCGCCACTGGTCGGTTACTTCAAATGCGGAAGCGTGCGCGGCCTAGCTCTCCATACATAATAATACGCGAATACGCACCGCAACGCGTGTCGTCGGCCCAGACTCGTCAGATTCGCGAGCTTGCCCGTACAAATCTGCGCGTTTGACATCACCGGCCGTGGGGACGCGTTATGTCATGTTGCGTTATTTTGGATTTTTATACGAACCCTGCAAAGAGGGTATAATTTAGAGATGCAATCGCTTGTCTTGTGTTAATTGATTTAAAACTTAGCATGACTAGTCATATTGCGTGTTACGTGTAATTTGTATGGGACAATCATAGTCTGTAATCAAGCGTGGGTATTAAAATAATATAATATTTTTTAATTACTAAATCTTAATATCCTGTGTTTGATAATTTGAAATTTGCGTATTGTGTTAACTTAGTTTAACAAATCGTTTAAGTTTTCATACATGCATACACGTCACGCCCTTTTCCCACCTGGTCCTGACACACACTGTTAGCTAAAGTTGTTTTAAAGTTTCCCAAACCTACATCACGATCGAGTGAAACGGTACATTAAATTTATGTGAAGATCAACGTATAGTATCGCCTGTAAAGATACTACTATAATTATACCCAAAACTTGGCATATCCACTCAAAATAAACATATAAACGTTATTTAACTTTTTTTACACTGCCCAGAAAATTATGCAGGTGGGTGTTGATTTGTTAAACTAAATGGATTGTTTTCCATGTATTATACAGATAATGTCGCTTATTTACGGAATCCCACAACCCGAAGTAGCATAGAAGAAGCAGGTATAATTAGAATCCGCCCCATTACAAGACAAACTTAGCTCTACATTTCTAGTTGTCCACTTTCAAATAAAGATATTTTAAACCTCTAGGAGTTTCAGAAGTTTTTATTGCAAGGCAGAGCAAGCATTGTTTTAAACTATACTATAAAACACAAAGGTTTCAGAAACCTACAGTAGTTGTACTTTAAAAGTAGGATACACGGGTAATTCCGCACCTACATTATATTTTCCCATTTGGGGTAACCAACAGCAGCGTTGGGCGTTAATCAATTAAATTTCAATCAATAATTCAATCAGATTAAAAAATCAATTCAATTGAAATCAATTCCGGCCGGTCGGGGGCTCGGGTGGGGGCCTAAGGGGGGGGCCCGGTTGGGGGCCTCGGTTGGGGGAGCCGGTTGGGGACCCCGGTTGGGTTGCCCGGTTGGGGGTCAACAGGTCCCTTAACTGGCCCCTAACCGGGGACCCCAACCGAGGACCCAACCGGGCTCCCCAATTAGGCCCCCAACCGAGCCCCCGACCGGGCCCCCAACCGGGCCCCCAAACCGGGGCCCCAACCGGGCACCCAACCGGGCCCCCTAACCGGCCCCATGAACGGGGACCCCAACCGGGCCCCCCAATTGGGCCTCCAAGCGGGGCCCCAACCGGGCCCATAACCGGGGCCCCCATCCGGGCCCCATAACCGACCCCCCAACCGGGCCCCCAACCGGCCCCCCATAACCAACGCCCTAACTCACCCCCATATGCCCTATAAATTTATCATAACTGTCAGTTTTAATTGTTAATTGTTAATCAAAAACATTGAAAAGATTGAAAATTGATTAATTGTTAATTGTAGATATTTGCGATTAACGATTGATCATTGATGCTGTTTCGCAATTTACAATTAATTAATTGTCAATCTTCAATTGCCAGAACAATTAAATTTTGCCCAACACTGACCAACAGTAGCATTCCTGGTATTGTCATTGACAGTGGATAAGTAGCTTATAAATTATATAGTACGCTTTATTCAAAATATAAAATATTATAGGAAAAAATGAGAACAAGAAAAAATTTTTTAAACTGTTTTATTTAACAGCTATGTATGTAATACAATAGAATATTTTATTTTTAAAATGTTTTCATAAAATCTATGTACAATAGGCACTTTAGCTTTACAATAATAATAATACATAATATTCATTGTAATCTATATCACATATTGAAAACTTAAGTAATATTATTTACAAAGATAAAATGTAAGACGAAATAAATTATAGAGCTATATATAACATATGAGGACAAATACTATAAAATCTGTGACAGGAAGACAATATAAGGTTACCGGTTTGTAAGAAGCAAATATTATTATAAGTGCCAAACAATTACTACGTATTGTTTTCTGACGGAAATATTTAGTGGGCTATACTCAGTAGCACATGTACTTTTGAAAGGAAGGGCCGGTTATTTTACTTTTTTATTTTAGCTCTAATTTAAAAAATACCGACTGTCATTTTTTAATTTCCTACACAAAGAAAGACGCTAACCTTTACTTACACAAAAAAATAGTTGAAATTTAGATGCTAAATGAAAACCATAATGCATGTATTTTAACCTTTTGACCGGCCCTGACAAAAACTAATTTTCTTTCATAGACGCCAAATGTAGTGGTGTGACATGTTACGAATTTTGACCATAAATAAAGTCAATTCCCCTAAGTTAATGTAAAAACATAAATGAAAATAAAATGCAACTATGAATCCATACTAAGCTTATTATACAAATAACACATGCCTTGACGCTTTAAATCAGAGGTTCCCAGACCTTTTTCTCATAGGCCACTTTCAAAATTTAGCTGGTTCCTGTGGACCCCCTGCAGCTACATTTCTACCATATTCCATATCCATATTATTTTTTGTCACGCCAACGTAAACCCCCATCGAGTCTTCCGTGGACCCCTGGAGGTGGTCGAAGTTTGATTTTGCGTTTTTGTAAATTTCGTAAAGCTTTATATGGAAAAGCTTTTTTTTATTTATTAAACTGTTACAATTTTTAAACGTTTCTGTTTTATTATAAAATTTAACAAGAAAACTTTTTGTTTTAATTTGGATATTTTTCAATAAATGTCGAATAAGTCTATATGAAATCAAAAGTTGTTAAATTAATTGTGACTATAAAGTGTAATTATTAATATTTAAACTTTTTTTGTTAAATATAACAGTATTTATATAGAGACATAAAATTGTAAACTCCCAGTTTTTTTGTTGAAGATGTTTTCTGATTGAACTTTGGAATTTTTCCTCCACAAAATTATGTTACTGTGATTATGGGAAATGTCCCTTTAAACTCCTGTAATCATGGTATAAACAAATGCGCCTGACTCCAATAGAAATAGAGAAAAACATATAGACAAAAACAATACATACGATTGGTTTAAATTGTATAACTGTTTTTAAACATGGAAAACGTTTATAGAGAAATGAACTATATTATGTTTTACATAAAACGCTATCAATAATATCTTGTTCTTAATTGCAAATTATGTACAAAGTTGAGATCAACCTTATGTATATCTATGAAGATCGTATAGATTTTGGCACTGCGGACCACATTTTTCACTTAAAATTAAAATATATATTTTTTTATACTTATTTATATAGTAAATTTTGTACAATATTGCATTTATACGCAAGCTGTCTATGGCAAGCAGTCAGTAAAACTATAGGACTCCTTAAAATAATTAACATTATCTCTTCTTACGTACATAAACACTGTGCTTGGATACTTCTCAGGTTAGAAATGTAACCTGAAACCTAATTTCGGTGGTAATTTTTATTAAACAAATTAATACTTCACGATAATATTCTAGAATATCTAAATAATATAAATTGCCACCGAAATTAGATGGAGAAAACTAGCCTGAAAATTACCCGCTTACGATCACAAATAATATTTTTACAAAATTAATATCTAACGTAACACTGTACAAGTATTTTGTTGAATAATTGCCACCTTCGCTTCATTCTTAACGTTCGATATTGACGTTCTGTTTGATATGTCCCTTTTAAATTTACACTGCATAAACCAAATGTCAACCAGACCAAACAATACCAAAGTCCATTGTATAATTAAATGGCTAATATTCTTTATGAATCAAGCTCACAAAACTTCACACTTAGATCCGCAACAGTTATGTGGATCACTAATGCCGAAGCTTGCAGTGTGCAGTACCGTCCTTATTCCTCTTTTCAACTAACTGTACCCAGTCTTCGATCCTGGGGGAACAGACTAAGGAGTATCTCCCTAACCTCCTTCGAGCCATGACGAGGAACTCGCCAGCTCCGGCTGCGGCTTCGCACACTGAAGACACGTGTATGTGAGCGTGTAGACTGCGAGTTTTCCGCCGCCGCTTGCCGTGACTGCGGTGAGTAGGTCGTTCTACTGTATTCTCGTTGGCTACTTCGTATCTGTAAAGGGATATATATTTTTGTTAAATATTTGTGGGTCTCACATGTTTAGGTAAGATTTGTTTTGAAATATCTATACTCAAAATTAGCATAGCTATAGCTAGAGCTACATATAGTTACGGCTGCGGTGAAAAAGGTTCTAAAATTTCTCGCTAGATGTCACTGGTAGCTCGGAATGCTCGGAAAATCCAGTACAAAGATCTTTAACAAAAACAAATAGGAGAATTTCGACAACTCGATAACTTAACCCGTAGCTCAGTTGGTAAGAGCAATACTACGGTGTATTATGGTTGTGGGTTCAAATCCCATCGCGTAGAAAGTTTTGTCTGTGTGTTCGATCTTTTATTTTTATCCTAATAGAGTTTTTAAAAAAGCACAATCAGTGCCTGTCTTATCACGGGGCAAAACGTCTCGGTGGCAAGAAAATAAATGAAAATGATACTTATTTTATTATACTAAGTGATGGGATGAACAAGTCGTGCGTCTGATAGTAAGCTACACGCCTATCTATAACAGTTGCAGTGCCACTCAGAGCTTTAAATCGCAAAGATCTGAAGGGCACTGGCACTCCTGAGACATAAGTTTTTTTTTAATAACAAGTGACGTGAATACCACGAACAAGTCGTGCGACTGGTGGTAAGTGACACGCCTATCTATAACAGTTGCAGTGCCACTCTGAGCTTCAAATGTTAAAGATCTGACGGGTACTGCCCCCGCGTCCGTCACCCTGAGACATAAGTTGACAAGTCCCATGTGCCTGTAATTCCACCAGCACCCTTAAACTTCAAAACCGGAACGCAATAATGCTCACATTACTGTTTGGCCGCCGAAATAGGGAAGGTGGCAGCACTTCCCTTGACGAATTCTTTCACAAGGAGCTCTACTGCTACTAAAGTACTTTTCGCTGTTCGATATTTGTGGGTAGTATGTGAATGAGTATAATTATATTAGAACATAAGTAGTGAGAACTATATAAGGCAGTGCAGAGGCAACGAGCATTGATGTTTTCAATCTACAAATCAGACGGAGATTTAACATATTGTCGAGATCCTTGCACGCACGACTGGTTTCAATCTTAATATATTAGGGGCAAGCAAGAGGGCGCTATAGTTGGATCTCGTTCGATCCTAAGACTAGCCTCCGGCCAGCACTGAGTAATAGATTCTTCTAAGCCTGGCTTGTCTGATTGATTTTGTTTATGTTATTAAGTTTTATTGAATGTTACGATTTTTCACCAGCATGATAGTCAATTATTTTTGTGAAATTACTTCACTAGTTTGTTATAATTATTAAATAAAGATCGAATACTTAGAAAAACTTCACTTCGATCCGGTTGGATTCGAACCAACAAAACGCATCATCTTCCAGCAATCCGTGTCAGAGGCTATGCCAAGTTCCATGTGATTTGTATTCACCCAAATTTATTTATCCCTTGTACAAATATTTTTCTTGTGGTTGTAAATCTTCCAAATAATAAAAAATATCTACTGAGTCCCAAAATACAATATTATTTTTAAGCATTTAATGTGCTGCTTTTGTATAATGTGCGTGTACTTTCTTAAAGTAATAAAAAAAAATAAGATTCTGACCTAAAGTACTCGTCGCCATCGGAGTCGTCGAGCTCGTCACGAGGCTCACTGGCTGCAGTGGCGCGTATAAGCTTAGTCAGCTTCAGAGTCAGCTGCGTGCTGTCCAAGTCTGCTCGCTGCTCAGCACCGACGAACAACCCTCGGGATACTAATGAACAAAAGGTAACACATTCAAGCCCTGTTACAAAATACGTCATGAGCCTTACTTAACAGTATATTATAATAAGGATGAACAGTTCCATGTCATAGTCGTGAAGGTAATAATAGCGTCATAATTTCATAGTAAATAAAGAAAAACGTTAGAGCGCATTCCCATTACGTCATGACGACAGATAGTCGTGCAGTTTAAAGTATCCTAGCTTTTATATTGAAATGAAGTTGTTCACATATAGTACAACACAATTAACTGTCGTTCACGACTTTTTTGTCGTTATGACAACAGATAATCGCAACTTCAAACGATTCTGTCGTGCAAACGACAAGGCGGCTGCCGTGAACCGATAAATTATCGTCACGATCTAGTGGGAACAGCTAGACACATGTGACAGTCGTTTAACGATAAATAAAACGTTACGACATAATGGGAATGCGCCCTTAGTGTTGTATATATAAATTAATTATATACCTACTTAAACAAGTAGATTCAAATTGGATTAAGTGCCTTTATACTACAAAACTTCGTCCGCAATAGATTACCAACTTACGTCTACAAGGTTATTTCATTTTCAAAAGGTTACATTTATCAGGGCGACTTTAATGAATTAGTTATTTATTATTCTTCCAGAACTCAATTCTTTTTTTGTACTCAATCGTTTTCTCCGAGTTGATAGAGGTTGGTAAGGTAGCCTAATGCTTTCACCTACCGCCTCTCAAGCAGAAGACGTGTGTTCGCAGCAATCGGGGCTCGCACCTCTAAGTCTCTCGGAATTGATGTGCGAAATTATTATTTTTATTTATTTAATCATTTAATGCACAGAAAAGCACAAATCACATTTAGTAAAACGGAAAACACAAACAAAAAGTACTTCTTATTTCTAAAAGAAATTTCTTTCTACAGGTCAAAATACAGGACACAATAATTACAATAACGGATGATAAAATGGATGGAACAGTGGATAAATAGTGCCCCTTGACTTTTATTTTAAAGGTAGCTTTCTATCATGAACAGTAATGGGAAGTGCGTTCCAACCGCATGAACAGTAAATCAGTGAGTATAAGAACCGGAATTGAAGGATGTAAAACATGACTGGGACCTAACGAAAGAGCGACAGGGCTTATCCTGGGACCTAAGAAAGCTGAAACGCTCTTTCAGATACCTGGGAGACAAAGGATTATGTAGAATGTTGTAAAGAACAGAGACGATATGCAAATTCCCGCGGAAACGAATGGAAAGCCACTTGAGCTGACTGCGGTAGAAATTTAACTTGAAATGCCATGCACTTTTCGGTGAAGAAAAACATCGTGATGAAACCTGTACGTCGAAAAAGGTTCACAACCCTCCGAAAACCTGTGAAGTCTCCAACCCGCATTGAGCCAGGCGGACTATGACCCAAACCCTCGCCTGAGAGGAGACCCATGCCCAGCAGTGGAGCGTATAACTGGGTTGATGATAATGATGGTGAGAGACGAATATATTGATGTTTCTATTATGTAGGTATTTTACGCCTCGCCGATATATACGTTAAAAACTTTACTAGGTAGTTGAGTGCGAGGCGGACACAAAAGTAATAAGTATTAATCACCGTATCACCTATTGTCCCCGTGCTTTTTGCCGACCCGTCATCGTCGTGGCCATGAGCAAGCGCAAATGTACATTTTTTAGGCCAACCTTTGTTTGAGAGAGATAAGTGAATAGCATGTCTTGATGAACGGTCGACAACCCGCCTGGTTCTGACTGAAGCGATAATTATAACCGAAGGCTTTTAACTAACGAGCGCTGTCTACCCTCGCTCGACTTTTTGGCTAGTTCTCACGTAGTTCTTGCTGTTTTTTTCTTAAAAAAATGTTAGGAAATGTTTTGCGCGGTAAAAGTACTCATTGTCTTTCGTGAAATATACTTGTATAACTACGAGCTTTTTTTTAATACCAAGTGACGTATACGAATACCAGGAACAAGTCGTGCGCCTGGTGGTAAGTGACACGCCTATCTATAAATGTTTGCAGTGTCTCCGAGCTTTAGATGTTATAGAACTGACGGGCACTGCCCACGCGTCCGTCACCCTGAGACATAAGTTGACAAGTCCCATGTGCCTGCAATTTTACCAGCACCCTTACCCTTCTAAACCCGAGCGCAGTAATGCTGACATTACTGCTTGGCGGCAGAAATAGGTAAGATTCCTTAGTAATGTGGCAGTGCTTCCCTGGACGAACTCTTTCACAAGGAGCTCTACTACTACTACTACTCTAAGGTGTAATATAAGTACAAGCATTTTTCTTTTCATGCCAACTTAAATTTTATTTATAAAACATTCATTTATTAAGATTAGCTGCTCTGTATTGCTCTGTAGCGTATTAAAACATCCACTGCATAACAAAAAAATACATTCATTAGTTCAATTTCGAAGTTAAGCCTCTAACATCGCCTTAATGTCGACTAATGTCGTCCGGGTAAAAAATAACAATAATTATTATGTGGCATGACAAACTAAAATTTCAATGATACGCGATAGAGGCGACTAATAAAGCGGAGCCCAGGGCGCAGCGGCCGCCCACTGCCCCGCGGGGCTCCGACGCAGTGACATAACTCCACTAATATAATTTTTCAAAGAAGAATAAAAAGCTTCCCGCTGCGTCGCGTGCCTCCAAACCCGTACTAGTCGGTCCGGTATCGCTGTCTCTGCTATTATGCCGGTAATTGAATCTAAGTAGTCCCACTCGTACCAAGCAACACATATTTTATGCAAAATCTTACGTAACTGAAAACCCGATTTTTGCAATTGTATCTTGTAGATAGAATAGTTAATAATTACAAAGTGGATTATATGTCTGCGATCTTTTTTACCACGTAACAAAAGATATAAATGCTTCGCCGGCACTTGCGGCCGCTGCGCTTTTATTTTTACCCGTTTCGATAAGGACATGAAAAACGAGAAATTTGAATTTCACCAGAAAAACGGGTTCATCATTTAGTGAATGAAAAATGCTCGTCTCCTGAGCAAATATTTTGTGGTAGTTAGGCGGGGAACAATTATATTCCCGTATAATAATGTTTAATTTAATTTCAGGCGCGAGGAATCTCGATTACGGCGACAAATTGCCATGCGGTCGCGCCAAGCCGCCGCCTTCATTAACATTCAGTAGAGAGCGGCCGCTTCTGGCTTGGCCCGCTCATTACTGCGGCAAGGAACTTATATTATAATGTCCTAGTAATTACGTGAGGGCTCACCGAGGTCGCTGGTGCAGAACGCTAGCTCCATCTCCGCCTCGGAACAGGGCCTGCAGTCCGCTGTCGTGGGGTCATAGTGCCTTCTCACTAAAGGTCTAGCTTCGTATTTGAATGTTGCCACACGTCTGTGAAGTCCATTCTCCGGTTCAGCCTCGACGTAAAGCGCGGCCCTACCGCGTCGGCTACGGAAGCAGCGAAGCTCCCGCTCGTCGTCATCGTCAGGCGCGTAAAGCGGTATAAGTCTGTGCGTGCCTTCCACAAAAATTCGTGCTGGAAAGCGCTCCATAACTTCTGAAACAAAAACAAAGACGTTTGAATATCCTCTTTACACTACGACTCTACATTGCAATAATTATTTTGAAAATCGATGAACTTACCAGTATCATTAATCTGCAAAGTATGGAACAAATCCGGTGGATCGGGCCTGCGTATGACTCTGATGCAGACGCGAAAGTCCTGCACGTCTGCGGGTAGCGGTGGCTTGAAGAGCAGACGCAGCGCGCCGCGCGGGTAACGCCAGGCAACGCCACCCTCGCGGCACCGCAAGTACACCGGCGTCACGCCACGCTCGGAGCTCGACGTCAACCCACTACAACAACCACAATCAGTCTTAACATCCACCACTAATAACATTTAAACTTATTACGGTACCCTGAGTACATTAAAACCAATCTGAAAAAAACATATGCGCATAGTCTTTACATAGTTTGGTGAACGTTTATTGGTGAACAGGAAAACTTATTATATCATATTTGGAGAATTTGATTGGACCCTGTGACAACCGAAGATATTCATTTATAAAAAAGTCCATTAAATATTCCGTGAGCGACGCGACCTGGCGAGCCGCCTCGTTTATTTCACTCAATAAAAAATATTCAAAGTCCAGGAAAATTGCCACCGTTTAATGTGCCTGTTATTTTTTATGGTACCAAATTGTCATCATTCTTTATATCGTCAGGGCGGTGAAAGTCGTATGATTTTAACCAGTGCCTTTACAGATATATCGTCGTGGATACGGTTATTTCTTGTGTCAATGGCTGAGTTAGATAGGGCGTGGTGGTATAGCGAGTTGCGAGAGTGGTTAGATTACAACGCGAGATGGAAGTGTCACTGGACGGCAGTATCTGGAAATGCCCTCATAAACAAGCCGGCAGCGGACAATTGTATCTGAGATCAGTGGCACGTGGGCCGGCCGCGTTGGGCTGCGTTGCGCGATTCTGGAGTAGCGCCCACGCGAGCCAACCCACAGCGAGACATACCATAAAACAAAGATATACGACCAAGTGCGACTATAAAAGATGCTACGTTTAACACGGCCCTCGCGACAGCAATAAAAGCACAGCAACGCACTTATGTTATTATGTAAAACGAATTCACATCTTATTGTCAGTGTGGTCTGCGTTGTAAGCTACTTTTACGAGTCATAACAATAAGGAAATGTTTTGTTATGTACGATAATTAAATTTGCGTATTCGACAAATGATAACGCCGTTAAAAACTCGGAAATTTTATTATTATATTTTATATTTACACACAATTAACGATCACTAATACCCAAAGAAATAAATATTAATTTGACAAGTCATTTCCTTAATAATTTCACGTCATCGAGGGCCTTCCCTAATCCTGGCTAATGGGGCAAGGTTGAAATATGCGGCGTCAATCGTAGACGGTAACAAGTGGGCATCATGTGGACCGATATCGGGTCACAGACGCACACGTGGTGACTGCCGTCTTGGACCGACCGACAAGAGTGCCTGGCAGGGGTTAACAACCCAATAGACATTTTAATACAACATTAGAGGGTCAATCTACCTGCGTACAGGAACGTCAAATGTACTATCATTAACTTTTTCAAACATTTGACGATCTATAAATAATCCATAAAGTTACGCGACTCATTATAATAAGAAATAAATCATTTTAAAATGCAATATTGCTCCTTAGCTTCTAAAGCAACAATATATCTATCAATTTATATGTTCCCTTTACTCTCGACTTACATTTATTATTAATCATTTGAATATATTATTTTCATTATCTTATTGAACGTAATACGTTAATACTAATTAAAGAAAGTTTCTACTATTTTTCCAGCTTTAAAATTGAACTAAAAATACACTATCCCTGCATCGCTGTGCGTTATCGGCCCGCGCTAAAACAAACACACAAAAAGCTTCATAAAAACCGCACAAGCTTTTTGTTACCAAACATAGAAACAAAAAATTATGTAGAGGGGTGTTAACCTAAACTCTAAACGACCTGTTCCGCGTTAACCCTCCCTTCATGGTTAATATTTTTTTATTAACTGAGCCATTTATGCTAAAATAGCAGGAAATTGTTAAAAAATCTTAATACAATAAATGTACTAGAATCAATCCAAATATCAATCAGAAACAAAGTGAAACGGTAAAGGATGACAAATAAATAAAGGACCAGGAAAGGTAGTCGTGATCCATTAATACGTATTACAAAACGTCCAAAACAAAGAATATGAGCAAAGCAGATTCAAATTGAGGTAATCCCTGGCCATTACAAGGCAAATCACTGAGGCGCCGATACCGGCTAAAAGCCACTAATGTACCATAGCGTCACCCTCATAAAATATAACTATCACTCTCGCACCGAGCATATTATGTATAAATTCATCTCGGTCTAAAAGGTCCAAGGAATTACAGCTAAAATGAAGTCACGCACGCGCCCAAATTAGTGCTCAAGAAACGTACAAATTATTTACGTAAACCCTAATGATATGTTACTTATAGCATTTGTATCCGATGTCTACGAAACCAATTTCTGAGAATAGTTTTAATTTATTCTAAATTAGTACTATTAGAACGCAATTATTATAATAGGAATAGCCCATTATATACTCAGCGAGTAGTTAGATGTTTTGCAACAATCCTAAATTTTGTTTTGCCATTATGAAACTTTTAGCGTAGCTGTGATAAGGGGTTAATTGGACTAATAACAAATATCCCATAAAAATCCTTTTAAAGGCGCAACGTTAGACAAGTTATGCAAATCGGTTATTTATCTTCACGGCTCTAAAGCAAATTATAAACGTTTTGTACAAAATGAAGAATCGTGTATATAACGGTGCATTTTCTTTCGAGAATTCATTAGAATATTCAAAATTATCTATTGCTAGAGGCTTGATTAGTGTCTTGCGCTGTCAATAAATAATTTTAGTCGCAGAAACATAAGAATTGAAAACACCTGGATAACGATAGCGTGCGCATTCAAAGAAACGTAAATGCTTTCAAACTTAAAGCATTTTATATAATGACTTACAACTGTAAACGAACCAAATAACGTCCATAAGACGCTGTATTGTGTTAAACAAGGGGTTAAAGGTTACAAAGAGGAGAGAGCATACTTTGCTCTTCATTATGTGCGCTTCAAAACGCCAAGAACTTTTACGGCGTGACATTACACCAAGAAACAAGCGTTTTATCTTTGTAGAAAGTTCGTTAGTGGACGATAACAGGTCCCATAAAGCTTTATCGCAAGCCACAAAGCCTCAGAATAATAAAATAAATGTATATCTTTTCTACGAAGAGTTTTATTTATTCTCGCCCAAACCCGCCCGGTCGAGATAACAATGAGCGGTGCGTTCAACCTCTTCGCAACAGGGTTACTACACTCATTAAATCACTCATGCTTCGACTCACATATGGTTCATAACAAAGTAAAGAAAAAATATAGAAATGTTATCATAATTTATTTGTATTTTAAAATCTTTGAAATCAATTAGTATCTTCGGAATCCCAACTTATATGTTGTTTGCTGAAGAAATAAACTTTCTTTACTTACTTTATAAATACTAAATAAACAACAATACTTAAAAATCAAGTAAGTTTCACTACGTTTAAGTTCCTGAATAAGATCTTCACAAAAATCTGACAGCCCTGAGAAGTTGACATGCGAGACGCGCCCGCGTCTGCCCACGCGCCAACAGCGCATTGTCATCCAACCTACGTGGTGCGATCACCTCGCATCGCATACGTTACAACTACCCTACTACCTTGGCTTAAGAGCTAGACGACTTAGATTGATAGTAAAAGTGCGTACAAAGTCATGCCACGGTAATTTGTAAAACTTGTACCAGTTCGTTTGGGCAAATGTCTCTTAGTTTCATCAATCACTAAATCACCTTTAAAATAGTGTTGTTTGATTTTTGATAAATCATGTTTATTGCGTAAGTGTATTTTTTCAGGAGTGTTGTGGTGTAGTGTATAAAAGAGACTTAAATCTTAATAGGTATTCGAAACTAAACTGGCACTTTGATATTATATACATTTTAAAGACATTAAATATCATAATTGAAAAAAAATGCTTTGTTTTAAAAATTATACATTCTGAGATATATTTGTTGTTAATATAAAATCATATAATATTAAAAATTATAATTTTACACTAGAAATATTCAACAACTGTGGTAACAAGAACTGCATAAAGAAGCTACACTTTCGTTGCGATATACATGTGTATATAATATACTTACGACACACGCCTACATTTGTTGCGATCGAGACAATAAAGTTTAAAAAAGTGTAACACACACACACAGGCTGCCTTTTACTACTGTGAACATTTACAATCCCACACAATCGTATTGATAAAGCTTTGTACTTGTACAGGAGGCCTCAAAAATATGATGTATCGTCTATTTAATTATATGCCTGTTTCGCTACATTACCTTGAGTATTTGTAAAAAGCCTAAGCTAGAGAATGCAACGATAACAAACTGAAATAATATTCAAAAAATGCTTTCCAATCGATATTCCCTTAAAGAAAGAAAGAAACGTTTATTCAGCTTATGAACACTCAAAAATAACAAATAAAATTAATGATAACATATACCTAGAAGCTGAAACGGATCCAACTCAGCATATTTATGTCACAGCTCGCCCGCTGTAATGTAATTTTCAATTGGGAATACTTTTATAATATGAGATGGCACGAAAGTGTACTACTAATAATGTACTTAACACTAAAATTATAACATATAATTTTAATTTTAACAAAAACAAGTAGAAAAATTACTAGCAATAGGAATTATTACATGAATTGAATGTACATAAAATACTGCACTCGTTAGGAATTATTACTTGAATTGAATGTATATGAAATAAAAAAGAGTATTTTGACTTCACGTTACAAATAAACTAGGAACTTTCTAGACTTAACATTTGTAACAAAACTTTTTGTGACACCCTATGTAGCTAAGCGTACAATGATCGAGTCGTGCTGTGTTTTTTCGTTTCTAGGTCACAGAGACACGATGTAACCGATGGCTAAGCAAAGCAGTTCCGTGATCTACTTTTGTTCGACCAGTTTGCTCCAACAGGGCTTTAACTATATAATGATTTAAAGTCTTTGTTCAAAGATGGAGCTTGCTATCTTGTAGAGTTCAGAAATAAACATTAATAAATAATCACTAGTTCACTAGAGTTTCAAAACAACCGCGTGCATGCGACATACACATATGTGTACATTTATATGTAACACACAACAATGGGCAGAGATACATAACAAATCAAGTAAAGACATTTAAAAAAGGTAGGGGTAAAGAGCAATGTTTTA